TCAAATCAACTCCAACTAACTCATATCCACTCCCAAACAATAGCCATATAGCAAAAACCTACGAAAAGTCAGATCCAAGACCTTCCATCTGAAGCCGGGCCAGTCTCGATGCACGTTTATGCCAAATCGCGGGTTTTGAGCGTTCTAGAAAAAGGGTTCCAGACAAGATAGGGCGGTACCGGGCAGTATGAAACTTGTGAGAAAAAGAGACAAATAATGCGTTTATAGGTACCGGGCAATACATTATTAACACCGAGCAGTGCCGGGCGGTACTGGGCCGTACTGGGCGGTACTAAGGAGTACCGGGCAGTACTGGGCAGTATTTAATATTAAATTTATAAGAGAAAAGGAGACAAATAATGCGTTTATAGCTAACGGGCGGTACCGGGTAGTACCGGGCGGTCCGGGGCAGTGCCAGCCAATATTTAGTATGAACTTTATAAGAGAAAATGAGACAAATAATGCGTTTATAGCTACCGGTTAGTGCCGGGCGGTATCGGGTAGTACCAGCCAGTATTTAGTATGAAATTTTTAAGAGTAAAAGAGACAAATAATGCGTTTATAGCTACCGGGCGGTACCGCGTAGTAACGGGCGGTACCGAGTTGTACCGGGCAGTATTTAGTATAAGATTTACAAGACAAAAAAAGACAAATAATGCGTTTATAGCTACCGGGCAGTACCGGGAGGTACCGAGTAGTACCGGACTGTAACGAGTAGTACCGGGCTGTACCGAGTAGTACCGGGCGGTCCCGGGTAATATTTAGTATGAAATTTATAAGACAAAAAGAGACAATGCGTTTATAGCTACCGGGCAGTGCCGGGATGAACCGGGCGGTCCTGGGCAGTATTTAGTATGAAATTTATAAGACAAAAAGAGACAAGTAATGCGTTTATAGCTATCGGGCAGTACCGGGAGGTACCGGGCAGTATTTAGGGCGGTCCGGGGCAGTGCCAGCCAATATTTAGTATGAACTTTATAAGAGAAAATGAGACAAATAATGCGTTTATAGCTAACGGGCGGTATATACTGAGCCATTACAGTGACAGTAGTTCACAGTCCCAATAGCAACCATTACAGAATAACAAAATGATTTATATATATATATATATATATATAGATAGATAGATAGATAGATAGATAGATAGATAGATAGATAGATAGATAGATAGATGTGTATAATAATATATATATATATATATATATATATATATATATATATATATATATATATATATGTATATATATGTGTGTGTGTGTGTGTGTGTGTGTGTATTTATTTATTTTTTATTTATTTTTTTTTTATTATTATTATTATTTTTTTTTTTTTTTGACCGTATTACCTTTACACACATGATGGGTCCCCGGCCAAGCCAATTTTATTGTTTTTGGTTTAAAAAAATATATGAATATATATATATATATATATATATATATATATAGATAGATAGATAGATAGATAGATAGATAGATAGATAGCTAGACAAATAGAGAGACAGATTGATTGATATATATATATATATATATATATATATATATATATATATATATATATATATATATATATATATATATATATATGTGTGTGTGTGTGTGTGTGTGTGTGTGTGTGTGTGTGTATAATATACATATATGTGCGTGTGTATGTGAGTGTGTGTGTGTGGTGGGGGGGGGTATACAGATATAAGTATAGATATCAATGTATAAATGACTTTGTGCGTGCGCTATGCCAACAAACACGTGTATATACCTATGTGTACCCTTCTGTATATGAATGATATCACATGCTTTACAAAAATATATCTATATGTGTACAATTTAAAAAATATATAAAACTTTGAGAACACGCATGTCCTTTATCGCCCTTTCCATCTTTTTTCCTGCGCTTAACCGACACCGCGCCGAATGGCTTCCTTGTCTCGCGAGACTTTGATCCGCGGAGAGCCGCGTCGCCGCCGCTCGAGTGACGGCTTCATCTACGTTCGATTCCGCCGGCTGACTGGAGGGGCTTCGCGAGCCTTTATCAGGATCCCAAGGTCGGAGGCGTTGACGGCTGTCTGCGTCTCGATTGCGACTCCACGCCATCGATAAACGACGCTTGCTGTAAACACTCCAAACGCCTGTGTGGGCAAGCATGAATGATCGATCTCAAGTGTTCCGATAATGTTCATTCAGGTCCGTCTTGTAGTTTAAGTGACTGACACCTTTAGCCTTTTGGGTCTTATGTAATTTCTTGAAAAATGGGGACATTGTCACTGTGCCAGAATAATCTTTATTGCAAGTAATAAATTTGTGAATTATATGAAGCCTGATTTTTCTTCTTGTCCAAACCAAGATGATATTTTGAAACCAAAAGTCATAAACGTAAATATATTTTAAATTTGATTTTACAGGTAAAGATGGATAAGAAAACCATTTTGATTATTTTTTTTTACTATTCTCATACAAAAGGATCAGAGGCCATTTAGCGAGCCCATTTTAGAAGTGGCATGATATATGGAATGGAATTCCTTGACATGATTAATGGCGGACATCAACTGGCAAACAGCTGCGCCGGTCGATGAGTAACTTATCATTGTCCTTATTGCTACACTATCTTCCTTGGGTGTAATACGCCAATCACTAACTTGTCGAGAGCACGGAATATCTTGCCTTTATCCAAAATTTGAATCAAAACAAAATTGTTTTCTTTGAATTTTAATGCAAGTTGTCTTCGAATCTTATCTGATTACTTTAGCAGCTCTTTTTTCAACCCCTTATGTCCAGAGGGTTCAATCAGTAGTGGTTTATGCGTCTAATTTAATATAGAATATAAATCACAAGCATTTTTAAGCGCCCGAAAGGAGAGAGAAGTAATTTGATCTGGTTTCGATTTTAGAAATTCCATTGTATAAGCGAGTGCGACAGAAGCAATGTGCCCTTCAGCTGATTTATTTATTCTTAATCAATTTTATCATCATCATTATTCATTAAGTGTGTGTGTGTTTCCTTACGTATCTTGCTGAAAGGAATGCGCTCAGTGCAGCAGTGACGGTTTATTTCAACTTCTAGTATATACTGACCAATATTTTTGGACGGGATATTAGATGCTGGTTATTTTTTGCTTCACAACCTAAAGATGACTGAATCTAGAATGAAAGGTAGTAGCGTTATACGAGATGAAAATGTCGGTAAATGCAGAAAGCAAATGCGTCTCTTAGCAACAACTTACCAGTCCCACTACAAGCTGTATCGCAATCCTCGTGGACCGCGCAGAACTGCAACAGAATCAATGGACGATGCGTTAAGATCTAACAGAATGCTAAATGCCGTTGTAATACATTTGAATGAAACAACAGCTACGGACCTGCGCCAAGCCTTTGTGGAAGATACACTTTGTTATCACTACAGAAGCAATGTATTTAATATTTGTTTTATTTAAAAAATCCAATAGTTTAAATTCATGAGACAATATGGATGATAAATATCTTGTTGATTATCAAGGTAAATATGTCTAAGCAGCAGAATTAGCATATACCGAAATTTAAATGAATTACCACAGCTAGGACAGCAGGTAGGAATTCAAAGCCATTTCTTGAGAAATACAACGACATTAGCCTTTCACTCCCAACATGTGTCATGCTTCCCTGCCCTCGTGTGCCCTCGCTGTTCAAGGACGACTCTGCAATGAAAAGAAAAGAAAAAATACAGGATAAAACATTCTGGAGTATGAAGAGAGCTATGAATAAGAAACTAAACTTTATGTTGTATATTTGGTTCGTGTTAGTCTTTGATACAAACGCCGACATTCTATAAGAGAAAATGAACACACACACACACACACACACACACACACACACACACACAACACACACACACACACACACACACACACACACACACACACACACACACACACAAAGTTCAAATATGATTTAACGGATGAGTATTGTTTTATATTTTATTTTCATAATATGGAAATACTATAATCCTTTCAATACCTTGTCTCGAAATACATCAATCCAGCCCATATCTGTTTTCTTTACTTCATTCACGTTTAATTTTACTTCTACTCTGACCAAAGTGCACCATCCTTCAAAGCAAGTGTTCAGACTCATGGAACGTCTCATGTTCATAATGCAACGCAAGTTCGTGACCTGCATCTTCGATCATAAATTACGACCGGAGTTCATGATATCGACCTGGGGAAAGGTTACTTTCAAACCGTGAGTATGAGCGCCTTCTACGTTCATATTTGCTAATTCTCCGGTTATATTGTATATTGTATCTACTAGATAGTTTCAATATTTGTTGTGATTTTCTTTTCAAAAAAAAAAAAAAAAAATTATCGTATTATACTCATATTGGTTGTATGTGTAGAATACGAGTAACGGCGACCTTTCTTATTAAATCACCATTATTATCATCACCATATATCATTATCGTTGATATTAACAATATCATCATAATCATAATGATTAATATCATCATAATCATAATGTTTAATATCATCATAATCATAATGATTAATATCATCATAATCATAATCAATATCAACATCATCATCATCACCATCATCATTATCATTATCATCATTATCATGATCATCATGATTATCATCCATGATCATGATCATGATGATCATCATTACCGTTATCATTATTCATCATTTATCATCATCATCACCTTCATCATTATTCATTATCATTATCTATCATCGTCATCATCACCATCATCATCATATCCTCATCATCATAATCATCATCATCATAATCATCATATCATCATCATCATCATATCATATCATCATCATCATCAATATACAGACAAAATGAAGTTTATTTCATGACGGTATGTTTTTTCATGTAACTATCCTTGAAATTACGCCATCTGCAAATTCGATTCTGCACAAACATTTCCATTTCATAATAAGAACCGCATGTACAGCACACAAATGTGACCCGCTTGCTCAGCCAATCACCGCCGCGATCGGGAGGCTGTTTACATCGTACGGGAGGGGGA